AACAGCTGAAAGCTGGCTGGCGGTGTGTCTGGCGCGATGGTGAGCCGCCCTGCCTGACTCTCTGCATTCCCCCGCCTGACTCTCCGGCGCACAGGCAGTCAGCCCCTGCAGTCCAGAGAGTCCCTGCTGCTGATCCCGCTGAGCCAGTCCCAGGAGCCCTCTCGCTGGAGAGCCACCATCGCCTGCATCTCGGGACCGGAGGTTCGGGGGCCGGGGGGGAAACCGTGCGCAGATACCAGGGGGGAAGGCCTGCCTCCAGCCACTTTATGACTACTTTATCCAGCACAGGGTCACGGGAAGCAGTGGGCGCAGGGTACATACCCACTCACACTGTGGGTGTGGGAGCTGGTTTTACCCGAAGCCAAAAAACCAAGCAGTGAGAGGAAACCGGAGCACCCAGAGGAAACCCACGCAAATTAAGACCCAGGCGTCTTCATTTGTGTAGGGCAAAAGACTGCCTTTGGTGCTTTCATGACAATACAGCTGCATTCGTCGTTACACATCTTCTGATACATACACTAACTAGTTCATTATGCTTGTAACTAGTAAAACTCTCCCTCCTCTGAACTGATTGGACACCTTCTATGAGCATTTAGATCCTGCAGGAAACCTGCTGTCAGTATCACAAATCCCGTGCTTTGCCTTCAATGGGGAATACTATTCAATTGCTAGCAGGGCAGTTGAAGATGTTATCCTGGAATTGGTTTACAAATCATTGTAAGATTCCTCCCAAAGTCTTGTAGTTTAGTCACTTAAAACACCAGGAGTTTCATTAGGCATTCTGATTTTAACATAATGAAAAACAACACTGCAATACCAGTCACGGCACGTATATCGACTCGGATGGTTGTGTAGTGTATTTCACAGTGTTCTCTTGTTTCTGTGGCAGATTGAAGTGGAAGTGAAACTTGCTCCCAATGCTATCGTGGGAAAGTATTCCTTCAAAGTGAAGATTGGAGAAGACTACACTTACGAGACGGAGAACGGCCATTTCTACGTGTTATTTAACCCATGGTGTGAAGGTACTCTTGCTGTTTCGTGTTTATTGAGTGTTTATGGATGGCTTAGCTGGCCTGATGACGGCGAGCCCCCTGTTCGTAGGGTGAGGAGGCTGGGACTCCCTGCACTGTGAGGAGTGAACCAGGGGGCAGCTGCACAGGAGGTGGGGTGCAGAATGAAGAGGTATCCTGGTCAGGTGACTGAGAGTAGTAGCTCATTCCTCTAGAGCAGGGGTCCCCAACCTTTTTTGTCAGCTAAACCCCTTCAACCTAAATTATTTGCCTCATGTACCCCCTTGAGGTTTTAACTTACTCAAACCTTTCAATCAATATAAATAAACGCTAAAGCAACCCTCTTAACATGCTTCTTTTCACTTTGTAAAATGTTAATATGACTACTGTTGTTTTTCTTATTCTTCTTATTGCATTGGTATGTATTAATAGGACTATTTAATTTGAGATTTACAATTCCATCACAATCTCACGAACCCCTAGGGGCTCACGAACCTCCGGTTGGGAGCCCTTGCTCTAGAGGATTCTGGGAAATGTGGTCCTGTCCCTATATACAGCTTTGAGAAATGACTTCAAGAACAATTAAAGTTTAGAACAGTTTTCTTTAGAAAGGCTCGGTTGACATCAACTCTCCTGAACGTCAGTCAAGAACTTGAGGGGCGGCAGATGTTTGTAACGGATTCATTTCAGTGAATGAATAATGTGATAGACGTTTACCAGTGAAAATCCACAGCAGCAAAGTCCCGGAGCTCCGCTCTGAGTCACAGGCTGATGAACGCGTGTGAGCAGAAAGAGGCTTGCTGGCCGGCCTGCGTCCAAGCTGTGTGTGTCCTCTCTCCCAGACGATGATGTCCATCTTCCAGAAGAAAACGCCCGGCAGGAATATGTCCTCAAGGACACAGGCTACATCTACACTGGCTCGGTCAATGATATCACAGGAAAGCCGTGGAACTTCGGCCAGGTACCACAGGGACAAATCCGAGGGCCTACACAGGCGCAGAGATTCAGAGCTGTGTGGAGTGAGAGACGGGCCAGGCCAGGGCTGAACAATGGACACGCTCACAGATGAGCCTCATGACTGTGTGTTGGGAAGGGTATCTTATACTGGTGCAGAAATGAAAAGTGAAGAGACCTCCTGACATTAGATCATTGATTTGACGCATTTAGGAGCCTCACTAATTTAAGAAGTGCATTGGTAGCATCCTTTTTATCTTTTGCTTATCTAGTAACATCAGTTCGTTTAATTTCGATTTCTCAATTGCATCGAGACAAGAATTTAGTCAATCAAAATAATGTTAAACCAAACCCGCTGAGAGAGATGAATTTGAGTCTTGGAGTGTCAGCAGTTTCATATTTATAAAATATTTATTTGAAAGGTAACCACTAAGGTTGCCATCGTGTTTCATTAGCTCTTAACTCACAGAAATAATGTCCCCTGTAGAGTAAGGAAGAAAAGCAAGGCGTATGTTAAGTGCATGAAAGTTCAGAAACATAAGTAATATCCAAACTTAGACATTATCAACTAGTCTATAGTCACACACCCATGAAAAGTCAGGTCATAATCCTTCTTTTGCCATTACACATTCACATGCTAATGTGTTTGAAGGCGTTGGAGTCCTACTAAATCCCGGCTTCTCTCCTTCGACAGTTTGAGAGGAATGTGCTCGACTGCTGCTTGTATCTGCTGGACAAGAAAGGGCTGAAGCAGTCTGCCAGGAGGGAGCCAGTGCGTGTGGCCCGGGCCATGTCCGCAGTGGTGAGTCCAGTGTCCCCGTCAGGCCGGCTGGGTCCCTGGCTTTCACCGTGAGCCACACACACCCCCCCCACATCTCATGCCAACGATCTGGTTGGCCAGTGAAACAGATTATGTGGAGTGCGGTTTGTAGAACGTTCCATACGTACCTTGAAAGGGGTCTCTGCTCTGTAAAGCAAAGTACTGATCAGGAGACGGGACCTGTTCTCCCATTTGCTGTACATGTGCCTTCCAAGTATTTTTAGAGGGCCCAAGGTACAGTAGGTTTCTTGGATTTGTGGTGTTCATATACCACAGTTTACTGAAGATACATGGGGTTGGGAAAGGCACTTTATAAATAAATGTATTATTATTATTATTATTATTATTATTATTATTATTATTATTATTATTATTATTATTATTAGTGCAACAGATTAGGATTTGTAAACAACTTTTTAAATAGATTTTATATACTAATTTGTATATA